TACTTGGCATTGGCTGATCAGTGATCAGAGTTGTCAGTACTGCGATCTGTCAAACCGCCAACATTAAAGTATATTAGTGAACCCAACAGTGTGTGAACATATCTCAGTGCCACCGTGGAAACAAGTCGACCCCTTGAGAGGTTTTGACTTTGCCGAGTCTCATCAGTGGAGTGTGGCCCGCTCATCAATGCTGCTGACGAACGTGACGACATGAGCTATCCACCAACACCATGGAGCTCAACATCAACCTGTAGCAAAGTTCCAGCAAGGTAAAAACAACTAAAGGCGCAGCCCTGCAATCTCCTGCTCACTCCACTGCTGGGGGAAGAGCCTCCGCGCTCTTGAGAGGCCCTCTCGAGTGTACTTGGCCTAATCTTCCACGCTGACCAAATGTCTTGGGAGTACCCACTCCCTTATTCCACACGGTGCGACCCGCTGGTGGACGAAATGCGGCGAACCATTTACACTGCAGGATGGATAGAGGCGGCGGGTGGGTGGTGGGATTTAAGAAACGCGTCCCGTTGTTTCAGCTTCCGCGCCAAGTGATGGAGTTGAACGAGTGCCCCCTGGAAGTCTGCTCGTGTCACGGTGCTCTCACCGTGACACCCAAGGCAGCATCGCCGGAGCAAAGTTTAGAATCAACGCGTTTAGAATCAACGCGCGTTTCGGGTATTTTGGCTGCTATGAATGTCCACGTGATAAGCCACTTCGTTGAGCTGTCGTTTGCCTGTTCAGCTCAGTGAGCCTTACCTGCTAAAATAAAACTAGTTCAGTTTAGTTTAAAGTGTAACAAAACAAGAATGCTCAGATAAAACAGCTTGTGACCACTGCCAGGGGCTAGAGCCGTTCCTAGGAGACAGCGAATCTGGGCGGCCGGCCCGGGCCCCCGGGCCCCCACGCTTTGATGTCATGGTGTCAGATGTAATACTTACAGATTAGTTTTAAAGGGGGGGGGGGCACACGGTGTGGTTTGGATCGCTCTTCGGTCTGGAACTCTCTTCCTTCTGATGTCAGGAAGCCACTGGAGCTATGCACTTTTAAATCAGAGATTGAAATCAGAGATTGAAAACTCTCGAGAACTGCTTATCGTTGTGCTTAGTTTGTTGTCCGTTCGTAGATATTTCCCCGCACCTCCGATTCGCGCGGTTGGCTACGTACGGCGCGAAAAAAGTTCATCGTGCGCTCCGTCCGTTCTTCCCCCGGCCCCGCACCACTCCCGTGGACGGCCCCTGGCCAGGGAAAGACTTTTTCCACGAGCGCAGCAAAGCCACCCACTCGCCGTCCGCGGTGCCCTCTTCTCAGTCCGGTAGACATTGGAACAGGCCCAGTTCAGTCCGGTGAACACGAGAGAGCAGCTGTGCGTACGATGCACACTCACTCCAGACCCCCCTCGCGCCGAGCTCCGCCACTCGTGCTGCTCGGCTGTTGACGCGGAGCGTGAAGAGCGCTCGAGGTGCCAACGAGCAGCGGCGGAGGCGGGGGAGCCCTAAAAGTAGTCGACAATTATGTTCGGGTTCCTCCTCTCTCGGCGTATGACCTCCGAATGGGATGACAGAAGGGGTGCGGAACAAAGGGGTGGACATTAGATGGAGCTGTGGAGGAGGGAAGAGGCAGAGATCGTGCAGAGGTGGAAGAAGAGAGTCGTAGACGAGAGACAGGGATGCCGTCAGATGAGAGATGAGAGAGATGCAGACGACAGAGGGACGGGAGAGACTGGTGTGTGGTTAGGCGTGTTGAATTGGAGATTAAATTTGGATCACCGCTATAAAACATTTTTTTTATCAATCCGAGTTCCTCCTCGGCCTGCTCGTGGCACCAAAGTTCTTGTTTGGTTTTTGCTTCTTGCCCAAACGTCGCCTCCCTGTCCCCCAGGCCGGCGCGGTGGAGAGGATCCATGGCGCGGGGCGCAGTGGCTGCGAGATCCTTTCGGCTGACCTCACGACCCCCGAGAAACGCACTCGCGGTGCGAATAGCAACGGGCCTCTTAACCCTTGATCCTCTCTTCCTGCCCCCGCCATATCTCGCTTCTCTCGTATCTTGCTACTCTGACCCATCTCGTCCCTCTCTGTGCCTCCCTCGTCCTGCGCCTCGTCTCCATTCTTGCTCCCCTTCACTGGAACCAACTCCCATTGCAGCGCACAAGAGCGGTCATCTTCACGATAACAACAACAACAGCACGCTGCAGATTCCGTTCCTCCCTTAAAACAACTCCCTAGCCCATCACAATCCTGCTACTTCCTGCCTCCAACTCCCATCACTACCCCTTACCCTATTACTACCCAAACCCCTATTACTACCCCAACCCCTATCACTACTCCTTACCCTATTACTACCCCAACCCCTATCACTACCCCTTACCTTATTACTACCCCAACTCCTATCACTACCCCTTACCCTGTTACTACCCCAACCCCTATCACTACCCCTTAGCATTGTACTACCCCAACCCCTATCACTACCCCTTACCCTATTACTACCCCAACCCCTATCACTACCCCTTACCTTATTACTACCCCAACCCCTATCACTACCCCTCACCCTATTACTACCCCAACCCCTATCACTACCCCTTACCCTATTACTACCCCAACCCCTATCACTACCCCTTAGCATAATACTACCCCAACCCCTATCACTACCCCTTACCCTATTACTACCCAAACCCCTATCACTTTGCCACCATCTCCAAGCGATTAGCAACATTTGAAAACAGCACTCCAATTTCTGACGTTTCGCGCCCAGCACGAGGAGAGCTGTACGCCGCGGTGGCTAGGATATGTGAACTACCTCGCCTGGTATACAGGAGGTCGTGTGTTCGTTTCCAACCCTGACGCCTGCTGTATATTTAGAGTTTGCGTGTCTCTCTCTCCGTGGTCGCGTGGATTTTTCTCCGGCTCCTCCGGTTTTCCCCTCCACATTTAGAATCAACGTCGTCACGCGTTCAGAGCGTTTGGCAGCTCCACATGTCCACGTGATGAGCCGCTTGGTTGAGATATTATTTGTGGCCAGGTCATTTCTGAACAGGTCCCTGCAGGGTGGGCTGGTAGGAACATTGGAATTTTTCACTTCGTTAAAGTATTGAAAGGGGACGGACGGACGGACACATAATCTATTGTAGGCTGGTACACTCAGTTTACAACTTCGTTCCTACCGGTACCAGTAAAAGGTCTTCATATCTCAGTTACTTGGTAAAATGAAGACTTTTCAAAAATAGTTTTAAATCGTTTACGTGAGAGAGACTTATTGATTTGCCCAATTTAATACGTCTGTTTACTGTTAAACTATTACACATTTAACAGTGCTGTGTGTTGCTGGCCGCTTTGCATTTTGACATTTGGGCATCTGCTTAGCAATTCAAATCCAATCGTCTTCATGAGTAATATATCTTAATGTAGGTCCCAAGGCTGAGCACCAATCCTAGTCCCTTGCTTAAGTGACCGAGCCCCAAGAGCTCACTCAAAGCAGGCAGGAGATCAGCGTAACGGGGTAATTATATACTCAGGCCTATTCTTACTTTGCAAACATACTTAACTTAGTGTACAGAAACAAGTGTGGAACTAAAGAGTGTGAAGGGACAAGCACCTGAACTGTAGTCATCATCATCACCATCACCATCATTATGCATACATTATTAACCGTGCATTGTATACTACAGCATTGATGATGGATGGACAGTGTTTTTGTGCTGAAAATAGGTGAAAGTAAAAAGCAGTGCACTATAACAAAACAAATCCATGCAATGTCTTGAGTGCGAGTGCTTCGTATTATGAAGCAGTAGCTAGTGGACACTTATGGTTGTTTCTTGTTTATTTGCCATCCCCCCCTCTCCCCACTCCTAAGTCGTCCAAGGAAAATCACAACATTAATATCACGAGAGGCGGCGGAGGGTTAGTTTCAAAAGTTACAAGTGTTAGAAACAATGGACATCGCAGCCTCGTTGGAGGTGATGGCGGGTGGGGGTGGCCGTCATCCAGCAGTAGATCGACCATGGCTGATGATTCTGGAGCGAGCGGACATCATGTTAGCGCTCGGCTCTTACAAAAATGGGTTTCCTTGGATCGCTACCTGGATGTTATACGGAGCCGTAACTGATGTAGATGACTTTGAAACCAGGCAAAACGGCTCAATGGGTGAACAAATTTAGTTACTTTGACAAAAAATAAATATATATTTACGTGAAAAGCGCAGACTGGATGGGCTGTGTGAGATTGAACAGCGAGAGAGACGAGAGTGCAGAGCAAACCACTCAACTGGGTTGGCATGCACTGCCTCGGTTCTTAAAGCATTCAATACGCGTCAACAAACTCTATCAGCACTCGCAGCTTCAAGTGTGCCCGAGAGGCTGTCCTCTCCCACACTGAACACACTGCCGCATTCCCGCACGCGCACAGAATCACGAGCAGACGCACGCGCACAGAGTCACGAGCAGACGCACGCGCACAGAGTCACGAGAGACGCACGCGCACAGAATCACGAGAGACGCACGCGCACAGAGTCACGAGAGACGCACGCGCGCAGAATCACGACAGACGCACGCGCACAGAGTCACGAGAGACGCACGCGCACAGAATCACGAGCAGACGCACGCGCACAGAATCACGACAGACGCACGCGCACAGAGTCACGAGAGACGCACGCGCACAGACGCACAGAGTCACGAGAGACGCACGCGCACAGAATCACGAGCAGACGCACGCGCACAGATTCACGAGAGACGCACGCGCACAGATTCACGAGAGACGCACGCGCACAGAGTCACGAGAGACGCACGCGCTGGCGAGCCGTGACGCGGAGTGACATTCACCGCTCCCGACGCTCGCCGCGTTCACTCGACGACGGCGGCTGGCGGCGGCGTCAGCGGCGACAATCGCTAAACGCGGCTCCTGCGACCGAGCTGCGAAAATCGTCGCAAGGCCGCTCCGAGCGCCGGCCGGCTTACGCCGCGACACCCAAGCATCTGCGCGAGTGCACGCGCGTGTTTGTCCCCCCCCCCCCCCCCCCCCCCCCCCATAAAAAGAGAGAGAAGTGCTCTTCTGAAGTTCTCCGCGTCCCGGATAGTTGACCGAGGACTTGGGAACGGCGTCGTGGTCGCGAGGAGGGTCGTGAGCCCCCCCCCACCCCGCAGGGAATATTGTCCCGCCGCTGGTTCGAGCGCTTGCGGTGCGGTGCGGTGGGGGGCCCTGGGCTGTTTCTGCGCGGCGCTCGCTGCGATGTTGAAGCAGCTGGGGCGCGGGGAGGACGACACGGAGGACGAGGACGCCAGCTTCGCGCGCTGGATGGGCAGCTTCTGGGGGAACAGGAACCGCGACGCGGCCTCTGCGGGCTCTGCGGGTGTCGCGGGACCCTCCTCCTCCTCCTCCTCCTCCAGCGGGCGTCGTTCCTCCGTGCCCTGCGCGGTGCGTACTCTCCGACGCGCCGGGAACGAACCACTTCGAGCGCGTGTAAACTAAGAATGGGTCTCAAGCCTTTACGGCGATGAAATAGGAGGTGTTGAGATATTCAACCGCCAAATCGATACCTGTTGCGTGCAATCAAAGCCTGCATGGACCGCACGTGCTTGCGGCGAACATGCAAACAAACATGCTCTGGTAATGTTTGCGTATTCTTTGAAACTGATTGGCCTACGCTAGAGACGGCCTTCTCTATGGCAGTCTCACCAGTGCCAGACCAGAGAAAGCCAAATGGCGAACAGCACAAAGACAATGCAAGTATTGGGAAATTTCTAGCTCGGGTTGAGCAGTGATATCGATGGTACCTTTTGCGAGTGTATCGTTTTTGTCCGGGCAGCGCCGTGGTTAGAGAAACATAACACACTCGAAACATTCGTCAAGAACATTGAGCAAGAGCCATTGCCAAGCTCGCGAAGTATTCCTTACTATTGTTATTACTTGTATAGGTGTGGATGAGTCACGCCAGGGTCAATACGATTTTACACTTCTGCTTAGGTAACCAAGATGCAATGCGTTGGTAACTTTTAAAAACTAATTTCATTCTAAATACAAATTAGTTCATGCAATATTTTTCTTATGCGTATGTATGTTGAACTTCTTTCGCATCGTACGTATCCAAACCGTGTTAATCGGAGGTGCGGGGAAATATCTACGAACGGGCAACTGTTCATCTGCTGTCATCTAGAAACTTCTTCACATTTCATTTTTTACCAGAGTCCCATGGTGTAAATGGCGTATTGTGCGGCCTCTCTGGCCCTCTACCTCTCTCCATTCCCAACAATCCCACCTCAACTGCTACTTTTAAGCTTCAGGATTTATTTTTGGGTTAGGTCACGTCATGAGTCCGAACCAATCTGTGTCGTCAAGCCCCTCCAGCACCCGACAAAGCCAAACAAATATACTGCCCCGTGGTGAGCCGGAATTTAACGTGCCATTGATGTATCAGCTGGTTGGATAGTTTGCGTAGGCCTAATCCAAACATCAATTACGCATCCAAATATTGGCAGTGAAAACCCATTTGCATAAATTGTACTTTTGCTAAGCTGTCGTTCGCTTCAGTCACACAGAACAACTTCATCCGCAACGAATGTTGGGGCCAGCTTTTCACTTTTTGTACTCGCTAATTCTGGATGTTGCTCACAGACACTTGGCAGTCCGTTTGCATGCTTACAGTATCGTAAAACACACGCACACATGCAATGCATCGGGTAGAGTAAACATACATTATTTTCTGCAATGACTCGAGTACCACATTTTTTAAACTGTATTTGCCAAAAGTGTGTGGGGGGGGGGGGGGAAACAGTCATTATTTCAGCTGACAAAGCCTTCAAGGTCAGGATTCGTTTTCCACTGGCAATTGTTTGACACTAGAGAGCTGGGACGATGCCAGTGCCGTGCCTGGATGTCACAGTGCAGGCGCCGACACCGAGGGTTGCCACCTCTGAGGCACAGACAAATACCGGGACACATCACGGGGAGAAAGAATATCTAGCAACGTCGGATAAAGGTCGAACTACGTGTAACTGTGAGTGGTGTGCGGCACTATTATTACTCTGATGACGCAACTGGTTAAAAACGCGACTTTGAATGTCCTGGGATAGATATCCCAGGACATCGGCTTCCTCAAAAAGAGGATGATCCTGGGAAAACCAGAACGGGTGGCAACAGTAACCAATACGAACAATATGGGATACATTTAAACTCAAACATGTTTAGGCCCACTGAGCTGTATAGCTCTTTTTCAGAAGCGACCCAGCCACAAATGACAGCTCAATGAAGTGGCTCATCACGTGTAAATGTATGGAAGCCGAATACTCTAAACGCGTGATGTTGATTCTAAATGTGGAGCGAAAAACCCGGAGGACCCGGAGAAAAATCCACGCGACCACGGTGAGAACACGCAAACTCCACAAATATACAGCAGCAGGCATCAGGGTCGGGATAAAACCCACGACCTCCTGTATACCGGGCGAGGTAGTTAACATCTCATAGCCACCGTGATGATGATGAGAGAGAGACACCGCAAACTCCACAAATATACAGCAGCAGGCATCAGGGTCGGGATCGGACCCACGACCTCCTGTATACCAGGCGAGGTAGTTAACATCTCGCCACCATAATGATGATGAGAGAGAGACACGCAAACTTCAAAAATATAGAGCAGGCGTCAGGGTTGGGATAAAACCCACGACCTCATGTATACCAGGCGAGGTAGTTAACATCTCCTAGCCGCCGTGATGATGATGAGAGAGAGACACCGCAAACTCCAAATATACAGCAGGCATCAGGGTCGGGATCGGACCCACGACCTCCTGTATACCAGGCGAGGTAATTAACATATTTCCACCAAAAGCAGGTTACAGCATTAGTGTCTATATAAATACAATAACTATATAGTACCTGTGTATACTGCACTCTCATTTTGCTGTATTTGCGTGTTGTTTGTATTTTACTCCATTTTCCGCTCTAAATTCCTTCTCAACAGTTGAATTGTCACCGCTAAACATTGCAGCTCTGGCATTTCATCAATTACTGACAAAAATACATCACCAACAGGGTTTTGAATAACACGCGTTGCACTTTTGATATGCAACGAACTTATCGACAGATAGCCATCTGTGTTACTCATGTGTGGACGCAGAGGGTGCACAGCCAGAATCGAGGGTTGCAGTCCCACGAGTTAAAGCTCCGAGGCAATATCAGAAACAACATTCGCACTCTGGCATGTGGTTTTGGACTTATTTCCACTTTTATTTAGTGTTGCTTAAACAACAAAAACCGTGTTAATACAAGGATGAAGCATTGGCTAATGTTTGGCCTTTATGCCATCACCCACACAGTGAAATGGCTCAGTCGCAATGGAATTCCCCAGCCCTGCCGATCGCCACAACCATAGGAGGCGGAGGTGCAGTGGTGCCTTATTCGGCTGTATCGGGAAAATAACCGCGCAAGGCTTTCGAGAGGACGACCGCTCTCCCAAGAACCAGACGCCAGGCTTCCCAGATGTGCAATGCCCAGGTGGGGGCTCATAGCTTACCCCAAGTAAATCAATAATGCACCATCCTCCAATAAAACCCCATAGCAGCTGAGTAATCCAAGAGTCACGTTTCCAATAAAGCCACATTTCACGAGCGCGCATACAATAAATGCTGGCCACATTGCAGTACTTTGAAAATTGTAGCAGCGTACCAGGAACAGTTAAGCAGTTTGCATCGCGAGATAATTCTTTTCAATTGGTCACCAAAAATAATATTGTTTCGTTTGATTAGAGAGCATCTAGATAACGATATTCAACATCCACTGTGTGGTATTTTAATAAGATATCTTAATTTTATTTTTCAATAACACAATGTCTCTTTAGTTCAATCAGGCACTGGACAGTGGCCATTTCTTTTGCCAGACCTAAGCCAATGGTGGAAATTCTACATTCCTATGTTGTGGCCTTTTTCAAAAGGATGGCCACTATTGCTGATAATTGAATGTTAATTTATGGCCGATTTCTCTTTAATATGCCCCACCTCAGAGCTAAACGTTGTATGCAATTGATTGGTTCATGTGGGTCCTGTAATTAGTTCATTTGAATTCCTCACAGCCACTAGAGGCCGTTACATTTACCGTGCAGTGTCCAGTAATTTTTACTCAGTTATGACAATTCACGGTTTAAACAAAGTAAACTACTACGATGAACGCCAACAGTGGAGGACCGTTACTGCTGCAAGTTCGTGGACCCAGAGACCTCCGTGAATGGCCAGTACGCCATGAATGGGGAGGGATGATGCTTCGTTAGGTAATATGATGAGCTCGGCAGGGGCGACTGGAGTCGGGCTGTAGTCAGCTGTTCGTGAGACATTTTTCGGGATTTCTGTGCCACCGATTCTAATGCGCTCGTGTCGCCCGCCACACCGCGCACGCCCACAGGAGCAGGAATTCCCGTGTCTCTTGCTGCTGGCCGGCCGGCTCGGTTAGCACCATCGCGATTGCGGAGACGATGGTTCGGGGGGTGGTGGGGGGGGGGAAGCGAAGCGTGGTCGTGCCGGAGCGAATCCACGGACGTGTAACGTGATGCGACAGAGGCAGAATCTCTTTGGCTCGGGCGACTACAGCGAGGCCACAGGGAGGCCATAGGGAGGCCACAGGGAGGCCACAGGGATACTTTAAGGGAGGCCACAGAGAGTCCACAGCAAGGCCATAGGGAGGCCACAGGGAGGCCACAGCAAGGCCATAGGGAGGCCACAGGGAAGCCACAGCAAGGCCATAGGGAGGCCATAGGGAGGCCACAGGGAGGCCACAGGGAGGCCACAGCAAGGCCATAGGGAGGCCACAGGGAAGCCACAGCAAGGCAGCGATGCAGTACCTATCAAGTCGGGTGTCGTCTGGGAGCAAAAAATTTCAGGTTTGTTTCTAAGAAATCTTGTTCTTTGTTTTTCAAGGAAATTGGCACCCTTGGATTTTTTTCCGCTTCTATTTTCAAATCACTAAAATTGCGGACGTGTTTCTGTGGCGGAGCATTCCTGCCGTGGCCCAAACCCCGAATATGGAAATTACGTTCGAGCATTTTACGAAAAATAATAACTCTCGCGATGTGACTGAGGTCATCCACACGTTCTGATGGCACACGTGACCATTATTTCATTGTCCCTATTCTCACGAATAATGCTTCAGTCTTGTGTCAGACAGTGCAGGACTCACAGCCTCGACATGCAAATGCAAGATAAAAGCAACTTTTGGTTGATCGGTTTGCATTATAATTCACGTCGTGTGCAGGTGCTGGGTAGACTATTTACGTCGCAGGGCCGTGAAAGGTGGAGGCGGCTTGGGGAGATCTTCATCCAGCAGTGGATTGACCATGGCTGCTGCTGCTGATGATGAAGTTATATTTGTTTGATTGGACAATTAAAATTATATTGGAAGATTAAATGTGGGAAAAAAAGTTGCACGTACTCAAC